GCGAAAGATATTCTACAGACACCCGACAAGGCCCAAATCTCCATCATTCACATGAGAAAGAGACAGAGATATCATGGACGTAGGTTGGGGTGCCTTGTAGGATCCAACGGCGAGCGAGTAATCTGCCTCTTCCATCAGTCCTATTAGCCAACATACAATCATTGGAAAACAAAATGGACGACCTAAGATCAAGGATATCCTACTAACGGGACATTAAAAACTGTAATATCTTATGTTTCACCGAGTCATGGCTGCTATATGCTACATCGGAAGGATAGAATGGCTGATTCCGGTAAGACAAGGGGTGGCGGTCTGTGTATATTTGTAAACAACAGCTGGTGCACGAAATATGATATAAAAGGAAGTCTCAAGGTTTTGCTCGCCTGAGGTAGAGTATCTCATGATAAGCTGTAGACCACACTATTTACCAAGAGATTTTTCTTCTATATTTTTCGTAGCTGTCTATTTACCACCACAAACCGATGCTGGCACTAAGATTGCACTCAATGAGCGTTAGAAAGCCATAAGTAAACAATAAAACGCTCATCCTAGTGGTGGGGGACTTTAATGCAGGGAAACTACCTAATTTCTACCAGCATGTTAAATGTGCAACCAGAGGAAAAACAACTCTAGACCACCTTTACTCCACACACAGAGACGCATATAAAGCTCTCCCTCGCCCTCCATTTGGCAAATCTGACCATAATTCTATCCTCCTGATTCCTGCTTATAAGCAAAAACTAAAGCAGGAAGCACCAGTGACTCGGTTAATAAGGAAGTGGTCAGATGACGCAGATGCTAAGCTACAGGACTGTTTCACTAGCACAGACTGGAATATGTTCCGGGATTCTTCCGATAGCATTGAGGAGTATGCCACATCAGTCACTGGCTTCATCAATAAGTGCATCGATGACATCATCCCCACAGTGACCGTACGTACATATCCCAACCAGAAGCCATGGATTACAGGCAACATCCACACTGAGCTAAAGGGTAGAGCTGCCGCTTTCAAGGAGCGGGACTCTAACCCGGGCGCTTGTAAGAAATCCCGCTATGCCCTCCAACGAACCATCAAACAGGCAAAGAGTCAATACAGGACTAAGATTGAATCATACTACACCTGCTCCGACGCTCGTCGGATGTGGCAGGGCTTGCAAACTATTACCGACTACAAAGGGAAGCACAGCCGCGAGCTGCCCAGTGACACAAGCCTACCAGACTAGCTGGGGCCAAGCTTCCTGCCATCCAGGACCTCTATACCTGGCGGTGTCAGAGGAAGGCCCTAAAAATGGTAAAAGACTCCAGCCATCCTAGTCATAGACTGTTCTCTTTGCTACCGCACGGCAAGCGGTACCGGAGCACCAAGTCTAGGTCGAAAAGGCTTCTTAACAGCTTCTACCCCCAAGCCATAAGAATCCTGAACAGCTAATCATGGCTACCCAGACTATTTGCATTGACCCCCCCCCCCACCCCACCCCCTCTTTTACGCTGCTGCTACTCTGTTTATTATCTATGCATAGTCACTTTAACTCTACTCACATGTACATATTACCTCAATTCCCACGACTAACCGGTGCCCCCGCACATTGACTCTGTACCGGTACCCCCTGTATATAGCCTCCCTACTGTTATTTTATTTTACTGCTGCTCTTTAATTATTTGTTATGTTATTTTTTACTTATCTATTTTTTACTCAACACTTATTTTTCTTAAAACTGCATTGTTGGTTAAAGGCTTTTAAGTAAGCATTTCACTGTAAGGTCTACACCTGTTGTATTCGGCGCATGTGGCAAATAACATTTGATTTGATTTGAGTTGATACACGCACACGCACGCACGCACGCACGCACGCACACCTCCCATTTTGGTCAGGCTGTCAGGGTTTAGTTTCACATACAGTATCTTCATGTGTGTGTTTTATTATTAATGCCTAGTTTGTTGTGTAGGAGAGATTGGAGACTGACAGACCAAACAAATGTGCAGTGATTCCACCAGCCAGTCTTGTTGGTATACTGCTACATAGGGGTAGAAGGTACACATATATGTTATTGTTATGCGGTATCTGCAATGTGGTGTTTACTGTTTGTTGTTGCGGTATTCATTGTTTGTGGACATTATAAGTGGGTGGTCTTTTCTGTGTTTTCCTGTACATGTCTGTACATGTGGATGTAAACATGTATGCCCTATATCACACTCACCTGAGGAGGGTGGCAAGGCAGATGACAGACTAGAGGTTTTAGAGCATCACGCCTCAGACCAGACCTCCCTACAGGCTAGGGTGGGTGTTTGTGGTCTAAGGTTATGATAAAACATATAAAGCTGGGCCTCACCAGTGGCGCAGCTGTCTAAGGCACTGCATGGGTTCGATCCCGGGCTGTATGACAACCGGCCGTGATCGGGAGTCCCATAGGGCGGCGCACAATTGGCCATTACTTGGCTCATCCTGCTCTAGCAACTCCTTGTGGCGAGCCGGTCACCTGCAGGCTGAACTCGGTCATCAGTTGAACGGTGTTTCCTCCGACACGTCCGTGCGGCTGGCTCCCGGGTTAAGCGGGCGGGTGTTAAGAAGCAAAGTTTAGTGGGTCATGTTTCGGAGGACGCGTGACTCGACCTTCACCTCCCGAGCACGTTGGGGAGTTGCAGCGATGAGAAAAAAATTATGTTTTGCAGCATAACGTGTGCTTTAATGATCTAACTCTACTTGATAGAACTATAGAACAATGGCAATGTTTCTAGGACACATGATTGTGGGCATTACTACAACATTTGCTGTGGTTCGGTTCAGTTTTTTCCACTTGCAGCTGCAGACCATGGTTCTCTGGGTCCTAGGTCACAGAGAATAATTTTGTGGTGTATTGGGGTTGTATTGGGATGAGCACGTTTCAGATAAATGGTTGAACTAATTCCTTTCTCATCATTATGGAATTGTTACAAAGACGTGGTTATGAAACCCATGAGACATAAGAAATATAAAACTCTCAAACAGATCTTCATGCTCCACTTAAACGGCTCTCTTTAATAGTCCTACATATTATTATTATTCACATTTCTGGACAAACTTAGTCTCTCCAGCAGTAGTTAGCCACGGTAGTTTCTCAGATTCACAGAATGTTGTGTTTGATTTGGATTAACACAGTTGATTATTGCTAGAAGCTTGCATCACAGCAGGATACACACACACAAATAACCTGGCCGTTAAGCTGAAAACAAGTGGACTTGGAGTTGGAAACAAAGGTGTCTTTGTGAGTGAGTGTGTGCATGCGTGCGTGCGTGTGCATTTGCTTGCTTGAGTGTGTGTGTGTGTGTGTGTGTGTGTGTTAGTGTATGCTTGTAAGTGTATAAGGAGATTTACATACTTTAGCCCCCAACAGGAGTCAATCTGAGCCCCAGCTCTGTATGTGTTTCTGCCAATAGGACTAATACAGGTCCGGTACTCAGTGTGTGTGCGCGCTTATGTGTGTGTGTGTAAGAGTGGGTGCGCATGTGCTTACTTGTGTGTGTCACCGCTGGTCAAAGGGTCTTTGTTGGCGGCAGCGGCATGTTTTCCACTCTTCACAGCATTTTCACACTCTTAAAGTTCCTCAGGGCTTAAACAGCTAGGCATTTTACAAACATCTAAGGTATATTCTAAACATCTAGGGCAGGGGTCGGCAACAGGCCGCAAGTGAATTTTTTGCCCCCCCCCCAGTTTTTAGTTTTTCATTTAGTTTTTTTTTTTTAAGGACTGTAAAATCACCAGGAATTCAGCTAATATTGTATTTAGAATATATGTTCCCAAGTATTCCCATGGATTAAAAAAGAGACATATGGGCAATTCCATGGTAACGGAATTGCGCTGAAACTCAGATTTTTCACTTAAAGTTCTGCCCCTGAGCAAGGCAGTTAACCCACTGTTCTCCGGGCACCGGGCACCGAAGATGTGGATGTGGATTAAGGCACCCCTCCGTACCTCTGATTCAGAGGGGTTGGGTTAAATGCAGAAGACACATTTCAGTTGAATGCATTCAGTTGTACAACTGACTAGGTATCCCCCTTTCCCTAAAATGTATGCCAAACAAAAACCATTGATTTCAAAGTTTAACAAACCATACAACTCTATGCATAAGGACTACTTTTAACAATTTACACTGAATATTTTACAAAAACACATTTATTGGAAGAACTGTGCAGATGCAAAGTGAGGTAACAGAATTTCAGTAAAATCTCTCACATCAGCTATGTGCACTTCACTGCCCTGGGGCATTGTGATCTCCTTAGACCAGAGGGAAGAGTGCCCCCTTCTGGCCCTCCAACACCACTTCCAGCAGGATCTGGTCTCCCATCCAGGGACTGATCAGGACCGACGCTGCCCAGCTTCAGAGGCAAGCCATCAGTGGGATGCAGAGTGGTATGCTGTTGATGAAGGGAGTTGGGGTTCTTATCTTATGAAGGTCATTGACATTGGTGCAGTCAAACAGTCCAAGAAGTGTGTGTGGTGTGTGTGCGTACGTGTGTGTGTCTGTGTTTATGACCACCTCTGGGAAGGTCAATCCAGCCACAGCATAATTTCTAATGTCATTCACAAACCAGGTAATCTTTAACCAGCCATCAGAAAGAACACTGGCACAAACACCCTTCACCAACCTATAGCGCTCACACACAACCTTGATCCGACCGGCCACACTCACCTTGTGTGTGTGGAATGCTGTATAAACCAGCTAAGAGTGGTATTGTGTGTGTGCACAAGCTTGTGTATGTGTGTTTCAATGCTGCTTTAGGCTGATTAGTACCCAGCCACTCCCTGAGAGGCTCAAAGAGACTGAGCACCATGGAGCTGTGTGGATACTGCCTCTGTTACCACTGTAACCCTGATATTGAATAGTGTATCTGTAGCTACTGCAGAATATTACATTAATATAGGATCCAATAGAACCCACACACTGACGTTCGAACAGGACAGAGGTGGATTAGAGAGGAAGAAAGGGAGAAGAGTTGTAAAAGAGGAGAGGAGTGTTTGCGCGATGGGCAGCGCGGTGACAGCCTGGTGGGTGATGGTGGAGGTTGCCTGCAGGATTCTGGGTATTTCCACGGCAGCAGGTAGGAGACCGCAGGACTGTAATTGACTGGACGGACACACACTATCTCTTTCTCATTCACACACAGCATCAGGTAGGAGACAGACTGTAGGCCTGGACTTTAATATGATACTGTGAGACAACCTGCAATTTTGCCATCTATCACAGAGGTTGTGAGTGAGTGAGTGTAGAGGATTAATGATGAACCTTGAGGTTTATCTCCTATTGTTATTTTGTGAGAATAGCAGGCTAAACAGTCTAGACTAATATTTACTGTTATATTATAACCCTGCTGTATCATATATACAGTGGGGAGAACAAGTATTTGATACACTGCCGATTTTGCAGGTTTTCCTACTTACAAAGCATGTACAGGTCTGTAATTTTTATCATAGGTACACTTCAACTGCGAGAGACGGAATCTAAAACAAAAATCCAGAAAATCACATTGTATGATTTTTAAGTAATTAATTTGCATTTTATTGCATGACATAAGTATTTGAAACATCAAAAAAGCAGAACTTAATATTTGGTACAGAAACCTTTGTTTGCAATTACAGAGATCATACGTTTCCTGTAGGTCTTGACCAGGTTTGCACACACCGCAGCAGGGATTTTGGCCCACTCCTCCATACAGACCTTCTCCAGATCCTTCAGGTTTCGGGGCTGTCGCTGGGCAATACGGACTTTTAGCTCCCTCCAAAGACGTTCTATTGGGTTCAGGTCTGGAGACTGACTAGGCCACTCCAGGACCTTGAGATGCTTCTTACGGAGCCACTCCTTAGTTGCCCTGGCTGTGTGTTTCGGGTCGTTGTCATGCTGGAAGACCCAGCCACGACCCATCTTCAATGCTCTTGCTGAGGGAAGGAGGTTGTTGGCCAAGATCTCACGAAACATGGCCCCATCCATCCTCCCCTCAATACGGTGCAGTCGTCCTGTCTCCTTTGCAGAAAAGCATCCCCAAAGAATGATGTTTCCACCTCCATGCTTCACGGTTGGGATGGTGTTCTTGGGGTTGTACTCATCCTTCTTCTTCCTCCAAACACAGCGAGTGGAGTTTAGACCTAAAAGCTCTATTTTTGTCTCATCAGACCACATTACCTTCTCCCATTCCTCCTCTGGATCATCCAGATGGTCATTGGCAAACTTCAGACGGGCCTGGACATGCGCTGGCTTGAGCAGGGGGACCTTGCGTGCGCTGCAGGATTTTAATCCATGATGGCGTAGTGTGTTACTAATGGTTTTCTTTGAGACTGTGGTCCCAGCTCTCTTCAGGTCATTGACCAGGTCCTGCCGTGTAGTTCTGGGCTGATCCCTCACCTTCCTCATGATCATTGATGCCCCACGAGGTGAGATCTTGCATGGAGCCCCAGACCAAGGGTGATTGACCGTCATCTTGAACTTCTTCAATTTTCTAATAATTGCGCCAACAGTTGTTGCCTTCTCACCAAGCTGCTTACCTATTGTCCTGTAGCCCATCCCAGCCTTGTGCAGGTCTACAATTGTATCCCTGATGTCCTTACACAGCTCTCTGGTCTTGGCCATTGTGGAGAGGTTGGAGTCTGTTTGATTGAGTGTGTGGACAGGTGTCTTTTATACAGGTAACGAGTTCAAACAGGTGCAGTTAATACAGGTAATGAGTGGAGAACAGGAGGGCTTCTTAAAGAAAAACTAACAGGTCTGTGAGAGACGGAATTCTTACTGGTTGGTAGGTGATCAAATACTTATGTCATGCAATAAAATGCAAATTAATTACTTAAAAATCATACAATGTGATTTTCTGGATTTTTGTTTTAGATTCCGTCTCTCACAGTTGAAGTGTACCTATGATAAAAATTACAGACCTCTACATGCTTTGTAAGTAGGAAAACCTGCAAAATCGGCAGAGTATCAAATACTTGTTCTCCCCACTGTAACTGTGCTTTAGTTCTCCTAGAGGACTACGGAGACACAGAGCTCCCTCAGTCTACTCTCATACTATATCATAGCATGTATCACATCCTGCTTTGTTTCAGCTACAGTACACTCTCTACCTCCTGTAATATCAATTTTAAAGGTCTGGTATTTACAGTATAATATACAGTATAATACTTTTATATGTCTGAGCTGGGTCGTATGTGTCTAGTCTCACATCACACAGAACTCATCTCCTACTGTCTTATTGGCTAATTTGATCATACGCTGACACACATACACACACATACACTTACTTTTTAGATCTACATCGTACCTTAGAGAAGCATGTTATTTTCCACTGGGTCTACTCTACAGGCAGCATTAATTCTCCTAACACTCCATAAAGTCCTACTAACCATTTAGCCTCGTTCCCCTGATCTAGACATATTCCCTTGGTGCAGATTCCAGCACCGCATTTCTGGTAAACAGGTCTGACCAATGACTTCCACATGTTAGTAGTGACCACTGTTTCAACCCTGTTACCTCACACACACACACACACACACCACACACACAAGTGTGCACATATGTGCACATGCACAAACGCGTACACACACACACAAACATACATACATACAGTGGGGAGAACAAGTATTTGATACACTGCCGATTTTGCAGGTTTTCCTACTTACAAAGCATGTAGAGGTCTGTAATTTTTATCATAGGTACACTTCAACTGTGAGAGACGTAATCTAAAACAAAAATCCAGAAAATCACATTGTATGATTTTTAAGTAATTAATTTGCATTTTATTGCATGACATAAGTATTTGATCACCTACCAACCAGTAAGAATTCTGGCTCTCACAGACCTGTTAGTTTTTCTTTAAGAAGCCCTCATGTTCTCCACTCATTACCTGTATTAACTGCACCTGTTTGAACTTGTTACCTGTATAAAAGACACCTGTCCACACACTCAATGGCCAAGACCAGAGAGCTGTGTAAGGACATCAGGGATACAATTGTAGACCTGCACAAGGCTGGGATGGGCTACAGGACAATATGCAAGCAGCTTGGTGAGAAGCGAACAACTGTTGGCGCAATTATTACAAAATGGAAGAAGTTCAAGATGACGGTCAATCACCCTCGGTCTGGGGCTCCATGCAAGATCTCACCTTGTGGGGCATCAACGATCATGAGGAAGGTGAGGGATCAGCCCAGAACTACACGGCAGGACCTGGTCAATGAACTGAAGAGAGCTGGGACCACAGTCTCAAAGAAAACCATTAGTAACACACTACGCCGTCATGGATTAAAATCCTGCAGCGCACGCAAGGTCCCCCTGCTCAAGCCAGCGCATGTCCAGGCCCGTCTGAGGTTTGCCAATGACCATCTGGATGATCCAGAGGAGGAATGGGAGAAGGTAATGTGGTCTGATGAGACAAAATATAGCTTTTTGGTCTAAACTCCACTCGCCATGTTTGGAGGAAGAAGAAGGATGAGTACAACCCCAAGAACACCGTCCCAACCGTGAAGCATGGAGGTGGAAACATCATTCTTTGGGGATGCTTTTCTGCAAAGGGGACAGGACGACTGCACCGTATTGAGGGGAGGATGGAAGGGGACATGTATCGCGAGATCTTGGCCAACAACCTCCTTCCCTCAGTAAGAGCATTGAAGATGGGTCGTGGCTGGGTCTTCCAGCATGACAATGACCCGAAACACACAGCCAGGACAACTAAGGAGTGGCTCCGTAAGAGGCATCTCAAGGTCCTGGAGTGGCCTAGCCAGTCTCCAGACCTGAACCCAATAGAGCATCTTTGGAGGGAGCTGAAAGTCCGTATTGCCCAGCGACAGCCCGGAAACCTGAAGGATCTGGAGAAGGTCTGTATGGAGGAGTGGGCCAAAATCTTTGCTGCAGTGTGTGCAAACCTGGTCAAGACCTACAGGAAACGTATGATCTCTGTAATTGCAAACAAAGGTTTCTGTACCAAATATTAAGTTCTGCTTTTCTGATGTATCAAATATTTATGACATGCAATAAAATGCTAATTAATTACTTAAAAATCATACAATGTGATTTTCTGGAGTTTTGTTTTAGATTCTATTTCTCACAGTTGAAGTGTACCTATGATAAAAATTACAGACCTCTACATGCTTTGTAAGTAGGAAAACCTGCAAAATCGGCAGTGTATCAAATACTTGTTCTCCCCACTGTACATAAATGTGTGCATACACACACAATATTTAAACCCTTTTAAAGTCACACACACACACACACACACCCTATTTAAACCATTTAAAGTAATTTAGCCTATCCTAAAAAAACAACCCACAAACAGTTGACTCACTCTCACTTCACTGTTGAGAGCTTTACTTTACTGCAGATATTTATTTATTTGCATACATTTTTTAAGGAGTTGGGCTGTCCCACTCCTTTTGTATTTTTTTAAACCTTAATTGAATAGATAGTACAGTGTTGGAAAGATGAGGAAGAAACAAAACATTGTCTGACAGAGATAATGTTACAGTTTAGAAACCGCAGTATTCAGTAAAACCAAACATACTACAGTCAGGTTTCTAACGTTCTAGCCTCTCTGGTAATACACTACATGACCAAAGGTATGTGGACACCTGCTCGTCAGACATCTCATTCCAAAATCACGGGCATTAGTATGGAGTTGGTCCCCCCTTTGCTGCTATAACACCCTCCACTCTTCTGGGAAGGCTTTCCATTAGATGTTGGAACATTGCTGAGGGAACTTGCTTCTATTCAGCCAGAAGAGCATTAGTGAGGTCGGGCACTGATGTTGGGCGATAAGGCCTGGTTCGCAGTCGGCGTTCCAATTCATCCCAAAGGTGTTCGATGGGGTTGAGGTCAGGGCTCTGTGCAGGCCAGTCAAGTTCTTCCACACCGATCTCGACAAACCATTTCTGTATGGACCTTGCTTTGTGCACGGGGGCATTTTCATGTTGAAACAGGAAAGGGCCTTCCCCAAACTGTTGCCACAAAGTTGGAAGCACAGAATTGTGTAGAATGTCATTGTATGCTGTAGTGTTAAGATTTCCCTTCACTGGAACAAAGGGGCCTAGCCCCAGACCATTATTCCTCCAAACTTTACAGTTGGCACTCCGCATTCGGGCAGGTAGCGTTCTCCTGGTATCTGCCAAACCCAGATTTGTCCGTTGGACTGTCAGATGGTGAAGCGTGGTGAATCACTCCAGAGAACGCGTTTCCACTGCTCCAGAGTCCAATGGCGGCGAGCTTTACACCACTCCAGCCGACGCTTGGCATTGCTCATGGTGATCTTAGGCTTGTGTGCGGCTGCTCGGCAATGGAAACCCATTTCATGAAGCTCCCGACAAACAGTGGCAGTTTGGAACTCGGTAGTGAGTGTTGCAACCGAGGATGATTCCTAGACGTTTCCACTTCAAAATAACAGCACTTACAATTGACCGGGGCAGCTCTAGCAGGGCAGAAATTTGACTAACTGACTTATTGGAAAGGTGGCATACTATGACAATGCCACGTTAAAAGTCACTGAGCTCTTCAGCAAGGCCATTCTACTGCCAATATTTGTCTATGGAGATTCCATGGCTGTGTGCTCGATTTTATACACCTGTCAGTAACTGGTGTGGCTGAAATAGCCGAATCCACTAATTTGAAGGGGTGTCCACATACTTTTGTATATATAGTGTACTTAGGAAAGACAGCCATGTGGTAACTCTGACATCTAGTGGCCACTACATGTACAAACAACCTGTTGGACAATTAGGCCTAGAGTTAATTTGGAATAAAGTACTTGCCAGTAATTTATTGGAAATTCAGCAGTTCATTTACCATCAATGTAATCCAAATCATCATCACTATTTTGTCTAAATGCAAAATGTGAAGTGTGTGTGTGTGTGTGTGTGTGTGGATGTGTGTGTGTTCGAGTGTGTGTGTGTGTGTGTGTGTGTGTACATGTAACCTGCCCTTCTGCTGTCTCCAGTGCTTTGTGCTGTGGGGGTGGACACGTTGCGACAGGGGGAGTTCCACAGTCTGGCCATCTACCTGCTGTGAGTACTCTTATTGGATAGACACAATTCCTGCTAAACTCTGATAGGCTTTATACAAACTTCCTGCTTCACTTGGATAGGTTAGTGTAGGTACATACCCCATATTAAGTCCCTCTAGACCCCCCCCCCCCACTACTTTAATAAAGGAAAGAATGTGTGTTTCAGGTCAATCTGCACTCACAGTGGAAAAAGAGGAGGGTGGCTGGGGGAGGGGTGGTCTAGGGGGAGGATGATGGGGAGGCAGGGGAGGAAGAGCAGGGCAAGCAGGAGGAGAGGCAAGTGACCTGGGTCACTGTCCTACTTTGCATTATCTCTGTGACCCATGGCTAAACTCCCATGGAGCAACACACACTGCGCAGCACAGGAAAACATCTCCCTGAGGAGTACAGAAATGCAAGACTGTTTATTCCATTTATCAACAGTAGAGACAGAGTCTTCTGATAGGAAATGTCATGGGTTATACTCTTTATGACATACTCCCTTAATCTGGTCCATAATTGTCTGATCACTAGCATCTATTTGGTTCTGAGTCTGTTCTTTGATCTGTGTGATGGATCCCTTAGGGTGTCTGGGGCAGGTATGATGGTGTTTGAGGTAGCCTACTTCCTAGATGCCCTCCTGCAGATGTGTCTGCCGTGAGTACACTACCCATAATCTGCTAAGGCTTTTTCTAAGTGTGCATCCAAAATTGTACTTTATTCTCTGTATAGTACACTACTATGGGAGCCAAAGGGCCAGAGTGTTGTACAGGGAATAGGATGCAATTTGCCCTTTTGTAATCATAGCAAATGTGTGGCTATTTCTTTCATAGGTGAAGTGAACAAAAAAACTCAAACATAAAACTGTCTCCATCTCTGTCCCCTGCTTTTACCCCCCCCCCCCCCCCCCCCCCCCCCCCCCCCCCCCTCTAGTTTCCCCCCAGGGTGGCGTGTGTTTGTGTTGTGGGGAAAGATGGCTCGTCTTGGAGGCTTTCAGAAGTTCCTCTACTACTCCATGATGTCAGTAGTGTGTTTTCTTCACCCTGTGTTAGTGTGGCATGCTGTTATACCAGGTAACACCACTCTACCAGGTAACAACACTACCTAACCATGGCATTATCCTTACCTAACCATTACTACTGTTACCAGGTACTACTACACACCATTATTACATTTAATAAGGTTGATGTAATTCACAAACATTGACACTCACCCAACATGTCTTTTAGATTCAATTTAAATGCAAAACAACATCTGATGTTCAAATGTATTGTATTTCTCCAGTCTGAAAACATCTCCCCTCTGATTCCAGGCATCATGCTCCTGGTCACGGCCTTCTTCAACTTCATCCTCAGCAAAAATACCCAAACAGTGTCCCCTAAAGACCTGGAGGACAATGTAGGGATAACGTCTGTGTGTGTGTCTGAAAGAGGAGGGACAGAACACACCTTCTCCTTCCTCCACATGCCGATGGGCAGGAGAGGGGCAGGGCTGGCGTTCGTACCCAGGGAGAGTGGCTTGGGAGTGGGCGAGAGAGGAGAGAGCAGCCGGGCCATGCTGGAGGTAGAGATGGAGCAGCCAGGGTCAGAGCTGGAGCGAGGGAGGGACGGAGGAGAGAGGTGGAAAGAGAAGGAAAGACATGTCCATTTCCAGAACAGTGCTACAGAGGAGACAGAAATGGAGGAGTACCACGACTTTGAACCAGAGACCACCTCGGACACCGCTCCTATGATCACTAACTGAACATTACACTACTGTTATTCATTGGAGGCCCAGGACAATATGGTGGAAAACAATAGAGACTGAGCTCCATTAACATCAGCAGAGCTGGGGCACGGTGGAGAAGATGGCCAAAGACCGCCAGAAGTGGAGAACCTTGTTAGTGGGGAGGAGTGGATGAGTGAGTGAGTGAGTGACACTACAGTAGCAATACAGTTGGCGGTCAGCTGGAGCAGGGCTTGAACCAGGGACCTCCTCAGACACCGCACATATGATCGCTGACTGAATATTACACTACTATAGCAATGTAGGGGGACAACTAGAACCAGGAACCACCACACCTATCACTAACTGAACACTACATACTGTAACGATGGAGGAAGACAGTTGGAGTGAGGTTTGAACCAGGGACCTTGCAGTTAAAGGTGAATTGTGGTGGTGGTGACTAGCTTTTGGATACTGATGCTCATCAGTCAATGACTCAATGCCAAATAATGCATATAATCAATGTTCTATATACTATAGGAGAGTTAACCCATTGAAAACAGACTAACTTGTTTGCTTGCCCACTTTTTTTCTTAGATTGAACACATTTCTGTTAGCTAATGGTAATATAAAGACCAGGAACACTGGTTTTGTATAATACAGGTGTGGGCCCCACGTCCACAAGCTGTAGGAGGGTCACACACTGCACAGACGTTTGGGAAAGGCTGCTGTTACTAACTGCTGATCATACAGTCATACATTTGACTTAATCTGTTGTATATGATGAAGATGATGATGATCATAATGATGATGATGGTGATGATGATAATTTGAAGTAAGGGTCTGATTTTAAGAGAGGCAGTGTCTTCAACATTGCCACTAAGGTGAATGTACAGTTGAAGTCGGAATTTTACATACACTTAGGTTGGAGTCATTAAACTCATTTCTTGCTAACAAACTAGAGTTTTGGCAAGTCGGTTAGGACATCTACTTTGTGCATGACACAAGTAATTTTTCCAACAATTGTTTACAGACAGATTATTTCACTTACAATTCACTGTATCACAATTACAGTGGGTCAGAAGTTTTCATACACTAAGTTGACTGTGCCTTTAAACAGCTTGGAAAATTCCAGAAAATGATGTCATGGCTTTAGAAGCTTCTGATAGGCTAATTGTGTGGTAAATGATGGACGGAGTCAGGCTCAGGAGTAAAATAACCGGATGCAGATATATTCCTTCCAGACATACAATGCTCCTACAACGGCAATCGAAACAGGTACAGGGGAAACAATCCTCCCTGACGAAACAGAGTCTCAGAAAATACAATAAAGGTAATGACACAGGGGAAAATCAACACTGGCAAAATAAATGAGAGAGTATCTCAACCGAGCTACTCTCCTCACATATAGAACAATCACTCACAAAGACAAGGGGGCAGAGGGAACACGTATACACAGACTAATTAGGGGATGAGCACCAGGTGTGTGTGATTGACAAGATAAGACAAGTGGAGTGATGAGAATGGGAGCGGCAGTAGCTAGTAAGCCGGTGACGACGAACGCCGAAACCTGCCCGAACAAGCAGGGGAGGCAGCCTCGGCGGAAGTTGTGACAAATTGACATAATTTGAGTCAATTGGAGGTATACCTGTGGATGTATTTCAAGGCCTACCTTCAAACTCAGTGCCTCTTTGCTTGACATCATTAGAAAATCAAAAGAAATCAGCCAAGACCTCAGAAAAAGAATTGTAGACCTCCACAAGTCTGGTTCATCCTTCAGAGCAATTTCCAAACGCCTGAAGGTACCACGTTCATCTGTAGAAACAATAGTACGCAAGTATAAAGACCATGGGACCATGCAGCCGTCATACCGCTCAGGAAGGAGACGCGTTCTGTCTCCTAGAGATGAACGTACTTTGGTGCGAAAAGTGAAAATCAATCCCAGAACAACAGCAAAGGACCTTGTGAAGATGCTGGAGGAAACAGGTACAAAAGTATCTATATCCACAGTAAAACAAGTCTTATATCGACATAACCTGAAAGGCCGCTCAGCAAGGAAGAAGCCACTGCTCCAAAACCGCCATAAAAAAGCCAGATTACGGTTTGCAATTACACATGGGGACAAAGATCTTACTTTTTCGAGAATTACCTCTGGTCTGATGAAACAAAAATAGAACTGTTTGGCCATAATGACCATCGTTATGTTTGGAGGAAAAAGGGGAACGCTTGCAAGCCGAAGTACACCATCCCAACCGTGAAGCACGGGGGTGGCAGCATCATGCTGTGGGAGTGCTTTGCTGCAGGAGGGACTGGTGCACTTCACAAAATAGATGGTATCATGAGGAAGGAAAATTATGTGGATATATTGAAGCAACATCTCAAGACATCAGTCAGGAAGTTCAAGCTTGGTCGCAAATGGGTCTTCTAAATGGACAATGACCCCAAGCATACTTGTGGCAAAATGGCTTAAGGACAACAAAGTCAAGGTATTGGAGTGGGCCAAAATTCACCTAATTTATTGTGGGAAGCTTGTGGAAGGCTACCTGAAACGTTTGACCCAAGTTAAACAATTTAAAGGCAATGCTACCAAATACTAATTGAGTGTATGTAAACTTCTGACCCACTGGGAATGTGATGAAAGAAATAAAAGCTGAAATAAATCATTCTCTCTACTATTATTCTGACATTTCACATTGTTAAAATAAAGTGGTGATCCTAACTGACCTAAGACAGGGAATTTTTATTAGGATTAAATGTCAGGAATTGTGAAAAATTTAGTTTAAATGTATTTGGCTAAGGTGTATGTAAACTTCCAACTTCAACTGTATATACTGTATAGAATCTCTTTTAGCTGCATACAGAAAATGTACATAATGTTTTGCACATGTATAATTATTTCTACAGTAATAAAACCCTTTGTGCCGAATACAACATGTGTAGACCTTATCGTGAAATGTTTACTTACAAGCCCTTAACCAACAATGGAGTTCAAGAAAGAGTTAAGAAAATATTTACTAAATAAACCAAAGTCAAAAATAAAATAAAAATAAAAAGTAACACAATAAAATAACAATAACGAGGCTATATACAGGGGGTACCGGTACCGAGTCAATGTGCGGGGGTACAAGTTAGTCGAGGTAATTTGTACATGTAGGTAGGGGTAAAGTGACTATGCATGGATAATAAACAGCGAGTATCAGGGAGGGGGGAGGTGTCAATGTAAATAGTCCGGGTGGCCATTTGATTAATTGTTTAGCAGTCTTATGGCTTGGGGGTAGAAGCTGTTAAGGAGCCTTTTGTTTCTAGACTTGGTGCTTCGGTACCGCTTGCCGTGTGGTAGCAGAGAGAACAGTTGGGTGACTGGAGTCTTTGACAATTACCGCCCCGTACAACAGTAATCCTTCTACCCCCCCCCCCCTATTAAAAATAAAAGAAAATAAAAAATGGTTGTCCCACTGGCTATCCTAAGTTGAAGGCACCGATTTGTAAGTCGCTCTGGATAAGAGTGTCTGCTAAATGACTTAAATGTAAATGTAAACTCTCTTGGTAGATAGTGTGGTCTACAGCTTATCATGAGGTACTCTACCTCAAGCGAGCAATACCTCGAGACTCCTTTAACGTTAGACATCGCGTATCAGTTGTTATTGACAAATAGACACACACCCTCCCCCCCTCGTCTTACCAGACGTAGCTTCTCTGTCCTGCCAATGAACAGAAAACCCAGCCAGCTCTATATTATCTGTGTCATCGTTCAGCCACGACTCGGTGAAACTTAAGATATTACTGTTTTTAATGTCCCGCTGGTAGGATAGTCTTAATTGTTGATCATCCATTTTATTTTCCAATGATTGCACGTTGGCCAATAGTACGGATAGTAGTGGAGGTTTACCGACTTGCCTATGAATTCTCAATAGGCAGCCCGACCTCCGCCCCCTTTTTCTCTGTCTTTTTTTCACGCAAATGGGCCTGGTCTCGAGAAAGCAGTATATCCTTCGCGTTGTACTACTTAAAGAAAAAATCTTAGTCCAGTTCGAGGTGAGTAATCGCTGTTCTGATGTCCAGAAGCTCTTTTCGGGTCATAAGAGACGGTAGCAGCAACATTATGTACAAAATAAGTTACAAAATAAGTTACAAACAACGTGAAAAAACTAAATAGCACAGTTGGTTAGGAGCCCGTAAAACAGCAGCCATCCCCTCTGCCGCCAACAGAATACCTAGGTGGGGTGACCATGGTGATGGAGCACAGGAAGAGGTTACTCCTGGATTGTCCTAGCAACCCACTGGTTACAGACGTCAGTTCAACGGCTAGTTTTGATTTACTTGAATTCAATGTGAAATCTACAAATAAATTCACCATGTCGTTGGATTTAGGTTAAAAATTCAGTGAAAAAATATGAAATGCCCTTTTTGCAAATCCAATCCGTTCTCCAGATTTTTTGGGGTTGAAATGACGTGGAAACAATGTTGATTCAACCAGTTTTTTCCCATTGGGAACCTGACAAACGATTGGCTCTTCTATCTCCAGAGAGAGTTCTCAGTAGAAACAACATCAGACACGGCACAGGTAGGTGTAGCTACAGGGTGTACAGGTTTTGCTCCAGCCCTGCTCTATCACACCTTTTTCAGATGCATGCAACAGTTAACTTCCTCTATCACAAGCTGGTACTCAGCCTCAATCTTGTGTCTTCTGTCTTGCAGACACGGGTGACTGCCCTCTTGAAACACCTTAGCCAGCTGTGCCACCGAACAGCTAGCAATTCAGATGGGGGTATTACACACACACCAGTAGCTCTCCTGGAGGGTCAACAACATTTTTCATATATAGGAGACAACAGACCTGGGCTCAAATATTAATTGTTTTATTTCAAATAATATAGCTGTGCTTGATTGAGATTGCCTGGTGCAATGGAACCAATGGAGCAGTCCCAAACGGTATAATCCTTCCCATCCGGCACTACAGGCAGGTAAAAGCAAATTATCAAAGTATTTGAAAGATTTCAAATAGTATTTGAACCCAGGTCTGGTAGACACAATACCTCTTATATAAGCCT